AGTTGGTTTCCAACGGTTCTCCAGCTGATATAAGTCCGTTATTAAAGTGAAAAGCCTTTACTTTTTTCGTTATTTTTTGTACTCTGAACAATATTGATTTTGCATTATGTTTTTGCCTCCTACTTAGAGTTTTGAGGAAGCCATCGTTACATGAAAACAAAAAACCGATTAAATTTCCCTTACTTACTCCTTAAGCCATCCACAAGTTATTAATTATCCTAAAAATTGTATCATTCTGACTACTTCATCTTTAATTGCTTATTACGAAAGCAATTCGAACGCTTATTTATTTCAGGTTTGACCGCGAATTGATATCATTTAGAGAACCATTGAAAACCAATGAGTATTGGACAGATGTTTAGTCTGGGAACCATCATCAGTACGTCTCCACCAACGGAGTTTGAATCCAGCACCTTCTGACTACAAGGCAAGCTCGTATACCATTCAGTCATTGCTACCTGATTCAATAGCCACTCCATGAATTCTAACTTCTACTAATTCATGGTTCAGCGAGACCCCAACCAATGTCATCGGTGGGATATCCATCCTCAAAGTTGACTGAATGGACTTCACTGTTCAGGACTACTTACTAGAACTCCGTCCTGTAGTGAGTCACTAGCAAGCATCGCATTAATTTTCAAGAATTAGTTTGTAAGGATTCAATTTGAATCAAGTCGTAGTGGCTGGACGGTATACGAGCTAGTCTTGTAACCAGGCTGTCCTAGGTTTGAACCTCTTATGTTTCCAAAACAATTTATTATTTAATCCACTTGTTTAGTTTTTCGAAATATTGCTACCCCTCGATTTTTGTAATAATTTTCGTATTTAATTATCACCCTTTTGAAATATTTATATACACCTATAATTCCTATTAAACGTATCATCACTAGAAATCAAATTAACAGTTTGAAATTTACACCATTCGAAAAGGTGTAATCTCATCAAGTAGCTAGGCAGGGTTTAGATGATTTGAACCTATCCGGCTATCTGAGCTGAATCAATGATGAGCTTAGCTTCAAATGAGTAAAATGACCTTCTGGTAGATAGATGATCTTGCTCTGATTGGCTAGCAAGCACCATTAACTGATTGATATGAGTGGTATACTACTGCTCATCTCAATGAATCAGTAGTACATAGTTTGTTAAATTTTTTATGTCCTGTTACAAATAAAATGGGGAAATTATGTAGCTCTTAGGTAGATGATTTTGATGTAGTTGTGTTCTTTGAGCTGCTGGATAGTTTTACTTGTGAAGCTTTCATTGCCTTACTAAGCAATATCTTCAGCTCGCCTACTTAAATTTGTTGAAGTGAGTTTTTAGAATTCTCAACGAGTTTATTCGTCATCTCTCGTGTTGGTAATCTTGAATGCTGTGGTCGAGTGTTTGTGTGTGTGTGTTTTCACAACCTTTAATGTTCTTCTTCTATTGGCATCGATTGTTTCCTTGACCTGAAGTTAAACTTTTTGCATGTGACAGTCCTTCTTATGGATTGGTAAATCTTGTTTATGTAAATGTGTCTATTGATTGCCGATTCACTTAAATACCACACTTTCAATAACTCTTTGGCATTTCTCATGTTTTATTTGCCTGATCTCTGAACAGTGTTCAAATGCGAAATGATGTCCATGGTTGCTTGTTTGCACAGTGGAATAAGGGAGTGGATACCATGCCTTTTGACGGTTAGTTTATGTTCATGGATGCGAAGATGTAAAGGGCTTCCACTATGGCCAGCGTAGTGTTTTCGCAGTCGTTGCAATTTATGTGTAGATGATGTTGGTTTCATCTGCTTTCACTGTTGAGTCTTATGGTTGACACAGAGCCAGCCGAGTGAAGTGATTTTGTAGGTTTGTGTGCGATATCAATTCCCAACAGTTTGAAGAGCCTTGCAGTGATTTTGGAGACATCCTTTATATATGGTAAGATGAGTTTCTGTGTGTTTTCATTGATGGCCTTTGATTCAGTTGGTTAGTTGGGTTGCGCGTAGATGTCTTTTGATAAAATTTAGTGGATATCCATTTTTTTAGAAGGCGTTCATGAGGTATTTTTCTTCGATTTTCTTTTGGTGCAAGTGCTGCGATGAGTCTTGGCTCTTTTAAATAATGTTTGCTTGCAACTCTTTTTATGTGTTATTGGGTTGTTACTGTTGTGTAATTCAGAATTTGATCTGTGTGGATTGATTTTCAGCACACTTGATTTTCCAATTTTCCTGTGGTTTTTCCTTGACCAAGACGTTCAAAAATGAAATTTTGTCCTCGGATTCCTTTTCTCTTGTGAAGTGGATGTCGTTTAAGATGTTGCTGATTAATTTGTGCGTTTTGTCCACCTCGTCCATGTAACTCACCCAAAATTTGGGTTCGATCTTCGTTAGGAACTATTTTTCAAGTCATTACAGCATCTGGTATGGGCTATCCCATAGGTGTTCCTTTAATTTATTCATATATTTGTCCGCTAAACTGAAAATACGTTGTTCGACTTAGGTTTATGCCTTCCATCCAACTGACTTGCATGTTGCGCTTTTGAGTGCTAAAAGAGGTGTTCGTCGTTGTTGAGTAGCAGCCGCTCCCCGGTTTCTTTTGCTGGTTTCTGTCCAATTGAAGTAATAAAATATTGTCTGTATACTAGAGTGAAGTCATAGGCAATGATCCAATTGGAAAGGGAGTATTTCTTTGCGCAGTCCTTCCATCTCTTAAGCATGAATCATTCAGCATTCATCAATAATGATCAAGAAAGTGATGTATGAAGATGAATGGCCATTCAGGTTATCACAGAGATGTAAGAATATCTCTGGAGCAGTTAAACCTAATGTTATAAGAGTCAGATGAAGCTTGGTAAATTTACTACCCACTATGTAGAAAGAAATTCACTATGTGAATTATTCAAATATATTAAAAAATTTTGTCGTAAGAGAGTTAGGGGAAATCAGAGCAAACGATTGTCCACAGTATCAAATTTACCAGTGACAGAAAAATGTCAGCCTCAGTTTATCAATCTGTGCTTTTCACTTTACGTCATATTTCTAATTATCACATATAAATATTATTTGTATATTCCTACCAGTTGCCTACCATTAGCCTGTTATTTTGCAGTTATCGCGCACTCATGGCGCCTTCCACAACTCTCACTCTTTTTAAAGGCCGATTCCTGAATGACTGGTAACTTTTTACACCTGTCAATGAATTCAGTGTTTGTCAATGGTCATTTAAAACTGTCAAAAGTTTCAACTCATTGTTTAAAACAGTGAAAGTTGTCATGTCAACGATCCTTCTTCTGTGTCTTGTTTACGCGCGCTGTGGTATTGTCGTTATCTTCAGTCATTAGTGTAGGTTACGTTAGGTATTGCGTCAGTCGTTTATTTCCACCCGATTTACGTCATACTTAAACTTTTTTAAACATAATCACATACCTCTCTCTGATGTGCTTTAATGGCATACGTACTTACTTGAATGGACCCTTTGTTTACAGAGGTGATTATAAATGGTTTAAACCTGGTGGATGTTGGTGCGAAGAAAATAAAGAGTGCTACTTCAAGTTTGATCACGGATCGATGTCAGTTAGAGATACGTTCCGAAACCAAGGCGTTTTGGACAGCCGTTTCGTCAGCCCAGTTTGGGACTTTTCATGAGTACACACTCACTGCCATGGTTCAGACCTAGGGCCTTCTGGTTACAGATTGAGCTCGGAGACAGTTCAACTATACAGACTGAACTTAGTCACCCATGAATTCTAACATCTACGAATTTATGATTTTAGCACGACTGACACCGGCCAGTGTCATCCTTGATTGTTCATCCTAAAGGCTGACCTCACTGGTCGCTATTTCTCGCTAGTACTTAAGGTTACTTCGTCCTGTAACCAGCCAGTTACTGGCAAAAAGATCAGATCACATTGATTCAAGATAAAATATGGAACAGATCAAATCATTACAAATTAGCTGTTGAAAATGATGCCATCTTCTCCTTGAAAGGAATAGAGGAATATTAAAAGACTGCCTGTTATCGTCAATGATGTATCTACTTGTGATCCACTGGATTATGAGGAACACCGTCAGAGAGTAGCGGGAAGACTGGAATACACTCGACCTATGGGAACACTCTAGAAGATTTGGATTTTGTGTATGATTTGTGTTTAATGTTATATGAGCTTGAATATTTACAGGCGAGACCGACCAACTGGCTGAAGAGACTGGCAGTGAAGACAAGACTTCAACAATAAAAACAAGTACCAATCAGTATCAACGGGAAAAATTGAAAGAGGTCACTTCCTTCCCTCATTTAAGCGGCATCGTATCAACTATAGGCGATTGCACGGATGGGGATGTCAAAACCAGTCATGATAGAAGAGGCAAGACAGACAATCATCACTCTGAAATATTAAGTCAGCCGCTCACTTCTTCTGTATGGATTAGACATTTGGCGATTGCATCACGAAAAGCAATTCCAACAAGCTACTCGAGACTTTCATCAACAGCTGCCGCATTCGCTGACTCTATATCAAAGATCGAATGGTTGGCCGGAAAGAATAAGCAACACGAAACTGTGGGAACAAAACAGCGAAGGATCTATTGCTCAAAAAATATTCCGAAGAAAATGGATATCGATTGGAGACACATTAGGGAAATTGTCTAGTGACATCGGGAGAAAGGCAAGAGATCATGTTATGCCCCAGTATCGTAAAAAGTAATGCTTTGACGTTTGAGATGATGGATGCAGGGTTTTAGTTTCGATGTTAACATTCTCACTCACTGGGATATAGTACATCCATCCGACACGTCCAAATCAGGACGAACAACGGAGTGGATTTCACCGTCAGTCTCTCTTCATGAAAACTTAACCTCAGATATGTAAGTGTCCGTCATGTTATGAGACCTTAAGCTAGGGAATGCTGTTCGCTTATTTAGCAGAGTTAACTGAGATGTATGTAAGCCTTATAAACTCACAGATAATTTATAAATTTCTATAATAATTATAATCAATATTTTAATAAGAAAGAATCAGGCTTACTTTACACATTGGTGATGAAAAGTCAGGACATCTTGATTGGAGTAGGGCATTGATATTACTCATATTAACAGCATCTGTAATGTAGAAAATAAAAGTAAACTTATGAAGATAAGATAAGAGCGAATGATTACGTAATCGAGGCATTTGTTTATTGAGATAATTAAGTGAGTGAATAAAATCATAAAACAAACTGATAGTTGATGGAGAAATAAGGTCGAACTACCTAATTTTGCCTCCACTATGTGCATCTGCTAGTTTGACTGCTAGGTTCATCATCGTATTTCCCAAAATCGTCCTGCATATGGTTAAACAACGGACAAACAAGGTGTATTGGTAGCTCTCTCTTTTAGCACACCTTGTAGACAGTAAGCATAAAGCTGATGTTAATACAGCACTTAAAATTATTTATCTCATTTCAACTAATCCTTATTTTGATTTATGAGTTTGTCTTCTACATACAACAGCTGAAGCCGTCAGAATCCACTTGAAGCAACCAAATCTGTGTGTTCAGAAGCAATTAGTGCAGCCACCTTCATCACCCCGGCCATCGTAACATGAATGTATAAACTTGATAAATTCGTCCTCCCCTGAGCCCACTTCAAAAATTATAAATGTCTAAAGTGTTTAATAACAACAGCAGAGAACACTCAGCATAAATGGGAAGAACCTGAAAGAAACAGCCTCCTTCACCTACCTGGGAAGCATCGTCTCAACTACAAGCGGACGGAACTGACGAGGATATCAAAGCCAGAATCGGAAAAGCAAGACAAGCTTTCATTACTCTCAAATCTGTGTGGAGGTCAACAGCACTCAGCATCAAAAATAACATCCGGATTTTCAACTCCAATGTAAAGTCAGTGCCACTTACTATACGGATCAGACACTTGGCGAGTCATAAAGAGCATCTCAAACAAACTACAGACCTTCATTAACAGCTGTCTTCACTCAATACTCAAGATCAGATGGCCAGAAAAGATCACCAACAGGGATCTCTGGCAATGAGCGAACCAATCAGGAACCGATTGTGAAACAAATAGGCAGCAAGAAATGGAGATGGATTGGCCATACGCTGAGGAAACCATCAAGTGACATCACTAGACAAGCCCTCGAGTGGAACCCGAAAGGGAGGCGGCGAGTTGGTCGTCAGTTCGAGGGTGACTTGGAGGAGGTCATGCGAGGAGGAGATGAAAGCATGTGGACAGACCTGGAGCAGGGTGAAAAAGTTGTCAGAAAACCGAAGGCAATGGAGGTGCTCAGCTGAAGCCCTATGTTCCTCTAGGAACTAAAGGATACAATAATAATAATAAAGTGTTTAATATCTTTTCTGACTACTTCGTCTGTAATTCCATGTTATCGTTGCCTAAACTGCTTTACTTTCTTTGATTATCTGTTACGCAATCAACTCGGAAACTTGTTTTTTTCTTTATTACTCTCCATTTTTCCAAAATTAGGCATTATGCAATGCACTTTTAGCAACTATTGATTTTATGCATTAATTGTCTACATTAATTATCACCGCCGCCCATTGGACATGCTGATAGTGACCGATTATTGTTAACAAACATATCGCCGCTAGACTGGAAAAAACTTTCTGTATTGTATTAAAAATGCTCTATACATATTAGAGTATACTCATAGATGAGGATCTAATTGAAGAGTAAGCATTTCTCTGCTCAATCATTTTGATTTTCACTTAAAGGCGACAAATTGGGCACTTACTACTAGCCAATGGTTCAGTTTGATTTGTTTTAAGCCTGACGACGGATTGATGTCGGCCGGTGAACCATTGGAAAGCAAGGGATACTAGACAGCTGTTCCGTCTTATTTTGAAACTCGTCACCAGTATGCACCCGCAGGGAATCGAATCCAGGACTTTTCAGTTATTAGGTGAGCTCGTAGAACATTCAGAAACTAGCACCCTATTTAATGACCTATGAATTCTAACTCCTACCATTTCGTGATACTTAGCGCAACCAGCAGCCAATATCATGGGCGAGTGGTGCTCTCTTATCCCATCAGATACGACTTCTCACTAGAAATCCAGTCAACGTTGTCCCATAGCCAGTTACTAATGAGCATCAGAACCCCGGTGGGTGTGCACTGATGAAGAGGCTCGAACTAGGACTAAACAGTAGTCCAGTCGTCTGAGATGTTTTTTTGGTGATTCTTTAACTGACATAAATCCGTGATCAAACTTGAGATTCTCTTATATTATTGACTATAACTCATCCTGTGAAATAGGTTGACATAGGTTACAAGATCGCTGGAATCTAAGGGGAACAGGATAAATATATGGTTATAACTTAAGAATTTGTAGTTGTGGCCACTTATGGCCTCAATGACGATCACACCTACAATTGACTAAGTTATCAGCTGAATATGTTTGACACACAGTCAATGAATGGGAGTTGATTTTGAGAAGTTAATTAAATCATAACGCTTTCCTTAGTAACTCTTTGTCTTTTGATTTCATTATTTCGTTTCGATGACATACCACCAGTGGTGTCCATCAGGAATGCCCATTGTCACCATTTCTATTTAATTTCATCATAGATGTATCAATGGAATTAACCCTAACTGACTTCAGGTACTCAGTGATTGGATTATTACCAGAGAATAATCTTGTTTATTTAAGCGTGTTGACCACTACACTTATTTGGAAAATTGCATCAGTCCTAAAGGACATTTACCGATTTATGCTATCTCTGGCGTAAACGTAATTTTCGGTTAGCTATCGATTAAACGACCTGTGAGCTGTCCAGTGGCACTTCAATCCATCCTCCTTTATATCTGTGAGTGGGACATGTCCATTGAAAGTGGAAGACATGAAAAGACTGATTAGCTAACTGATGTCTGCCTTCTCTCTACATCCTATGTTAGGTGGTGGGTGTAAGAGCGTGAGTAATATTATTGAGGTCAGGCTCCGGTCAAGTGATAGGTGGATAAGGAGGTAAAATAAATGGACGATGTCGTGAAGGTACATCGGTTGAGTGAGATGGTTAGGACAACATGTGTTACGCGTTTATGCCTAGTTATCTTCCCCGACGGGAAATATTAGCTGTCAGAGAATGGATCAGGTTGGAGAGGAGTGAACTATTGGTGGTCAAACCAGATTACGACCTTATCATCAGTGAAATCCGTAACACTTAGTTTAAGTCAACCAGCAACGTAGAGATGTATTGGCTTCTTCGTTGCAATCCACAAGATTCTAAGAACTAATGACGGCTGGAGGTAGACAGTTGTTTATATGGCTCAAAATCATTCTCAGTGTCAAAGATCCATTCACTGCTCATTATCGTTCTTAGAATCTCTTTTGTGTATTACATGGACTTCCATAAGCCATATTGCTGCACTTCAATGCAAAGTTTCGACGTTCAAACTAGTTAGTCAGAAAGTAACAAAAAATCTTTCATTTTCTAGTTTCAAATAACCAAAATCATAAACTGTGCTTTCTAGTTTAATTTTCTATCTTTGTGTGCCTAAGTGTGTGTGTTTGTGTTGTCAATTTAAAGAATCTTGCATAATCGATTATGCATCGTGACATTCTCTGGTCACAATTGGACGAAAGGACATAAAACACAAATTATTATAAAAAAAAGTTTAGTGCATATGATTAACGCTCAGCAAGCACACACACACATCTTGTTTAGTTTATTGAATGTTGAATATTAAATAAACAAAAAAATATATATTGAAGCGTAATTCAATTTAAGCGTCAACCAAAACACATCACATACCTGCATTTCTATTTCGTCGAGAGGAGACAAACTCTTTCAACTTTCTGTAGAAAAAATATGAATAATTGAAAATAACAATAATAATAATAGTAATCAAAGCTTTATTCTGAAACACTGTTCGTATAATGTATGTAGAAAATTTTCAGTGAAGTTCATTCCATGATAGTTTCTCTTCGGCAGCAAGGAACTTCAATTAAAAAAAGACTAATCGATCGAGAGGGTAGATCGTGTGACACAGTTCTCTATCTGACCTAAAACTCAAATGAATCCACATTATTATGATATCTCGTCTTTGCGCCCTTCAACAATTACACGACAATATTTTGTTGTTGAATGTTAATTTATAAAAAGTACAAGAGTACATTTTGTGAACTAGGGACACTACTATAACAACAGAAGACAAGGGCCAGGTAACAGATCGTACATGTACATATTATAGATTATTGTTAGCAGAAAAACACAGTCCTCTGATTGGTTATCTCTCACTGAAAGTTAATCTTTCATCTCTTTGTGGCTGTTTCTTGAATGTTAGATCATCTATATGTTAACTGTATCCGCCTACGCAAAGCCTTTGTTCTTCTTTTTTCTCACAACCAATATTGGGGACATAAACATTGACGTCCACCAATTTTTTTCACCAACAGTCAGCTCTCACTACACTACCACTGAGGAATGACCATCCTATGTATTGGGATAATCATGTCATCTATCAAGAATAATGCCTCTTCATATCATATTTCGTAGAAACTAGAGAATCATCAGGTTCTAAATGTTTTTAAATATTCCCAGAGTAAATAGTACTATTTAGAGGTAAAATTTTTAATAAATTTAAACAAACTGGATGGAAGAAACTATATGCAGTATATTGATGGAGTTATTTCTCGGTAGCCCAGGTTTTAAGAAGGCCGACAAAATTAGTCCAAAGAGAAGGACACGATGAGATGTCTATTGTATCAAAGATTTGTATGGGTTAAAGGATCTTGTAGGATTGACATACCAATAGTCAAACATAGTGGTAGAATACTACTTTATCAAGTGTATAAGTAGTCGATAGAAGTGAAACTTAAAAGGTTTTTTTGAGACTCCAAATTGTTTTCAACAGTAAACTTTAATTTGTTCAAGTTTGAGCAAAGAATGATGTCAGTTTGAAAATCATCGAGAAACCAGCAGTGGGCAAATAGACAGATATCTCGTCCTAATTTGAGACTCTTACACATTACGTACTGATATGTAAACTGACACACAATGGATTATCCTTTATTGACATTATGATGATGGATGTCCAGTGTGGAAATAAAACATAAATAAAACAACACCTTCCAGTTTTATTTATCATGATTATAGACTAACTGACATATTCAAGTGTTGGTTTGCAAGGCTGGTTACAGGGTCCGCTAAATAGTGAGACAGTAAAACATGATTCTGAAATGTATTTATTTACAGATTGCTGAATGGAATTGAAGAGCAAACTGTATACTTACTGTTCCGTACTCACAAATTCCCTTAATAAAATCTTTTCTGCAGTGTGCACAACCACAGGGAGTCGAACTTAGGAAACAAAGCGAGCTCATAGACTACTCAGCCACCAGCCTATGAATCCGAACTTGTGCCAATTCACACACGATATAGCGCAACTGTCACTGGCCAATATCATTGGCGAGTGACTGAATAGACTGAATAGACCACCCCATTGATCACAACTCCAGGCAGCTTTGCCCTGTAGCCAAGAGTTAGTTTGTAGGGCTTGGATCGAGTCCCGATGGCTTAATGGTTTATAAGCTTGTCTTGTAATCCCAGGTCCTGGGTTTAAATCGCAGTGGGCTCATACTGGTGAGGAACCTCAGACCGGTGCGAAACAGCTATCCAATACAGCCAGATGGTTTTCACTAGTTCTTCAACTAATATTAATCTGTGATCTAAACTATTTGATATTATCATACGGTTTGTGTAGGAACCAATGTTATTATTCTTTGTAATGATATGTATCGTTATTATTATTATCATTACTATAAATATTATTAGTAGATTTAAGAAATTCAGGTCAAAAATGACTGATGTTGTATCAATAAACAATGAGACCAGTATATAACATCAATGAACTGCAAACAAATATGCATATATGATTACATACTAACGAAAAGTGAATGACACTTTAGTTATGTATATATGAAGATATGAATCATGCGAGCGGTTTCGGTGAACACATAGAAAATGAAATAAACTAAAATATACGAAATGTAAACGGAATTTGTGATGATAACCTGACTGATGACAGTTGTAACAGAGTACTACAGAGTACATAATGATGATGCGAACGTCTAAAGTGCCAGAGATGCAATACTTTTGGGATTTACTAAACTTTGCACAGAGAAATCGTGCGTCTACGACTTTATTTCTCAAATATCCGAAACTTTTGTGATAGACGGATAAACGCATGTTATCCATGGATTTATCGTGATTATTCACGAATGTAGTACCACTTATCGAAACGGTAGATTAAATATGTCAAGAAATCACCAAAAGGCAATTGGACTTAGAAATTCCCTTGTGTAGTGGTAGCCTAAAAGAATTACTCCTCAAATGCACAATGAATATTCATGTTGTCTTCAATAATTCATGTTACTGACAAAGAGATGGAATAGCTATGGATTCACTATTAGGCCCAATATTAGCTGACTTCTTCTCGCAAAACTTGAAAACAGGAAATTGAAGGACATCATCAAGGAATCTGATATGTATTACTGATATGTCAATGATACATTTAACTTAGCTGGTGGGAATGTAAACATAGACTGATTGTTCATGAAATTTTACAACGTCCACCCTTCGCTTACTTTTATCTGTAAAGAGGAGCAGGATAGTAAACTACATTTTCTGGATGTCTTGCTAAGTAGGCGAGAAGATGAGTCACTTAGGAGAAGCGTGTATAGAAGAAGCCCATTCACAAGGCAATACACACCCTTCCTTAGTTACGTGCCCATCAAATATAAAAGAAATGCTGTTAAATGTCTTATGAGCAGAGCAAGAAAGATATGTATGGATGACCTTTCACAAAAGGAATATGAATATATTCACGATTCCTTGACGGAGATGGGCTGAATCTCCGAGTAGTTCATAAGAAGCATATGAAAACATTGGAGAGAAAACCTGAAACTCTGACTGCACGTAAAAAAAACCTCCTTTTATTAAGTTACATTTAATGGTGACTTATCAAGTGAGATTCTATTCCAAAGACTTTCAAGGAGTATACGTATAACATTTTACGCAGCATACCCATGTTTGTCATTCTCTAGCCGACGAATGATTGGGACGTAAATGAAGGATAAGCTAGATAGTTTTGCCACATCTATGCGCATTTATCAGTTCAAGCGCACCTGTGGTGGCAGTTATGTTGAGCGTAGTATTAGACAGCTTAGCCAACGTGTTAGTGAACATCTGGCATCATGGTGGTTTGGCAAAGGACAGACAAAAACAATCCGTAGCTCAATTCTGTCAAATTCAATTGATAGTGGTCATGTAGTGGAGAAAAAGGGAGCTTTCAAAGTAATTCATCGTATCCCACCGAATTTTTCTAAAACGCTGACATTACTCAAGAAATCTAGGAACCCTACTAGACAGATCTATTGCCTTAGTCTGGGGATTACCAGAAACACACTGGGGAACTTCAGGTTACGATGCTTGTGGAAGTACGTAAGTAGTTATTCCTTCCTGGCTGCTCGTATCATGGAAGTTGATCTTTCGCCTAAGTACCAGAAATATAAGAAAGCAAATCATGTTATCATCCTATTGCAGGGCTCCAAAGTAACCGAGCAGAGCATAGGATGACAATTAAATATCTCCAAGTATTGGTTTTTATAAAGATTTCATTTGACTGGTTGGAGGATTTCATCATGAACTGACATCAGTTAGAGAACCATTGGAAAACCTTAGAGTAATTACTCGACAGCTGTTTTGTCAGCCCCGTTTGAAACTTGTCAGCAGTAAGCACCCACCACCAGGGTTGGAAACCAGGACCTTCTGGCTACAAGGCGAGCTCGTAGACCACTAAGCAGCCACTGGGACTCGATCCAATGGACAGCTCATGAATTCTAATTTCTTTCAATTCATGACATAGCACGACCACTTCGCAATGTCTTCTTCGATGAGTTACTGCCTCATCTTCAACCTGATGTACCCTACTGGTCACGACTTCCCAATAGAACCCCAGGTCGCTGTCTAAATACGGCTAGTCACTAGCGAGCTTCAGATGAATTTTCAAGAATTTGTTTTGTATGGATTTAATTTGATTGGTTGGAGGATCTCATAATGAGCTGACATAAGTTAGAGAACCATTGGAAAACCTGGGAGTACTGGAAAACTTTGTCAGCTTTGCAAAGGCTATCGACAGTGTTGATCACGAAGTGATTTAGAGACTACTCTATTACTACGGCATGCATGGGGCACAAACTATTTTCAACCTCATTAAAAAGTTATATGATAATGCCACATATTAAATAATCCACAACCGAAAACTCAAAGGAAGCTTTAGAGCAAAGACGTCGGTAAGACTAGTCTGTCTTTGCTATCACTGATGATATTACTAATTGTGGTGGACTAGGTTACGTGGACGATTGTGGCGAGCGAGAGGACAAAAATACTCTGTACTGATAAGAAGACTGCAAAAGATCTGCATTTCGTGTGTGATTTATGACTGTTACTTAAGTTTGAATACACAAGCGAAAAAAAAAACGCAAGCTGACGGAAGAAACAGAGAAGTTCGGACTTCATGTGAACATAGAGAAGACACAGGTGATGAAGAAAACCAAAGAATAACAACAATCACCAATCTCTAACAGAGGAAGAAACTTGAAGTGAGTCACCAGTTTCACATATCTAGGCAGTACCACTTCAACTACAGACATGAGGCACAAATTATGATGTTGAAGCCAGGCCATGTCGGAAAAACAAGATAGAACTTCATCACTCTGAAGTCAGTTTGGAAATCTGCTCCACTCTACAGAATAAGGAAAAAAAGCTACATTTTCAACACAAATGTTACATCAGT